GAGGACAAGATCACAGTGAGGAAGTGTCACAGCTTAATGTCTTGACAGCCCTTATATAAAGAATGTTAATGGTGATTCACTTAAATAAAAGCTGAGGACAACTTAGTGAAGAACAATTAAATCCTTTGTAAATTATGGGTAAAGCAAAGATGTACGTATGTCTTGGAAAGCCAAAATGCAGGAGATCATGGGAAAACAAAGTAAGCATGTGTTTAAAGCAAGCTAACACCACAGGGGAAAAATTAAATAAAAGAGAAGCAAATGACAAAAAAGAAAATCATGCAAAAAGAAAAGGCATGATTACAAACAGAGGAAATGTCATCAGACACGTGCCCTCCAAGTTACTCTCTAATGATGTTCTAATCATTTGCACCTGTTCTGATGCATCTGATTCTAATTTTAGGCATTTGATACAATGATAAAGGTACAGTAGGGGTGTTTTACCTTTTTCTGCCCAAGGAAATTGATTTTCTGTTGATTTAAATAGTACAAAATGTACTACTTTGTACAAAACATGATTTTTCAATGTTGTTTTTTTTTTTCGTTAGATCACCTTTATCTATCAATATTGTTGAAATTAAGATTAAATATCCACACATGCAAATATGTTGAAAAACACACACCTTTTCATGGGGTGTACTTACTTTTTCACAGCACTGTATAATGCCACCAGAACTCACAATTAGAGCAATTAAGTTCAGGTGATCCAAAACAGACACAATAATTGTGATATGGCAAATATGTAACCAGTAAGTGTTTGTCAGAATGTAACAGTGGTGAAAATTATGAAGAGATGTGAAAGCCATTAATCAATGTGCACTGAGAGCCACCAACCTGGATCCTGGAGTATCCCAATCAAGTTAGTTTCAGGTAACTCTAAATCACCTTTTTAAAATTTAGGAACGCTTGGATGTTATTGATCTATTAAGCAAGTAATTTGTTAAGGTCCTTCAGGGCTGAAAGGTATTAGGATTGTTCTTCCAACTTATCTCTAAGTCACTTAATTTAACAAATCAACTGTGTAATTGATAATTAAATTGTTCCAGGGCCTTAGAAATTGAAGATTTAGTGGTTGACTATAACAACTGCTGAACTGGGGCTCTCTAGGATCTGGAGATACCTGAAGTACATTACATGTTAACCATAGCATACAGGCATTGAAGAAGCTGGTTTATAGAGAGCAGATTTGTATATTATAGACTTACTCGTATCCATCCTAATGCATTGCAGCCATACAGGATGAGAAGCAAGTTGCTTTCTGAATACATTGTTTGCACAAATTATTTGAAGGTCTTTTAAGTGCTTGTCCAATATGTAAAGCACTTTACAATGTAAAGAATGGGCAGCATTATCATTTTACATTCGGAACCAAACAATTATTAAATTAAATGAATTGGACTGGCTTGTGGGTGCCACAGTGGCACCGTTATTATCGTTGCTGCTTTGCAGCACTGGGGCTCTGGGTTCAATTTTGGACCTGAGGTGCTCTCTGTGTAGAGTCTATATGTTGTCCCCATGTTTGTGTGGGTTTCTTCCTGGTGCTCTGGTTTCCTCCCACTGTCCAAAGACATACAATATGGGTAGTGTCAGGATTTCTGAAAGGGGTGAGTTTTTGGACCCCTGTGTGAAGCCGTGAGGAAGGTAGTACGAGCAAAAGTAAATCCAATATTCCAAATCCAAGTCGTTAGGCAAGAGCGAAGTCAAAAGTAGGAGAACCAGGGTGGGTAGTCAAAGGAGTCAGGTCGAGAATAGTAGTGCGCACAAGAGAAAGCTGTTGAAGAATTCTCAAAAGTGAGTGTAGGTAAGCCGGTGAAGTGTTTAAATATTGAAGAGAGAGAGACGTGGTTGGATAATTAGTTCCTGGATGAGCATGTGTGGAATTTAGTATGCGTGGGAATGCCAGGACGCTTACAGGAGAAGGGAAGAGTCGCGGCAGGTAGGTTAACTGGTTTCTGGGAAAAATAGCCTTAGTGTGAGTGTGTGCATGTCTTTGTGTGCCCCTGCAGTGGACTGTTGTCCAATTCTGGGTGTGCCCAGCCTTGTGCATTGCATTGCATAGGCTCCAGCTCCCATGCGACCCTGAATTGGATAAAGCATTCAAAAAATGGATGGATGGTTTGGCTTCTAAGCACAAAAGATGTTAGCTCCAACAAAAGTATCAATATTATTAGTACCAGGCCTACTCAGAACAAAACCTTTTATAATCAGTAAAATCCTTGAAGTACTCCTGTTGTAATCTTTCTCTTTGAAGTCCTTATAAACTGCTGTTGGGCCTTCTCAATTGCTCTGCTGGTTCAATGTCCTCGAACTTAAAAACAAAATATCTTCGGCAGGTCTAACCGTCTGATCATTGTTTTGTCAGCCTGTTTTCATTCGCCCTTTTATTTACATACAAAAGCAGAAAATAAACAAAAGAAGGCAACTTGAACATGAAGGACAAAACTACAAGAAATTACCACTTCCAAGTGAAACGTAAATTATTTCATGCAAAGTTTTTCCGTGGGAGAAGATTCTGCTGCTGTTTCTGCTTTCATCTAATTGGCAGAGGCAATCTGTGTTCACTGGGCAGTTCTGCTTATGCAGTTCAGTGCTTTCCTAAGACTGCCTAAGATTAGCTATAACATTAATTTAATTGCTTCATTTTGCTGCCCTCTGTAGTGTGGCTGCCAACGGCAGGATCCTTCGTTTGTACAGTGAACCGAATTTGCAATGCTGTCAGATTCCGTGTGCACAAAACTATATCATTTACAAAGTATTATTAATTGAATATGCTTCATTATAACATTTCACTGTTGATAGATTTTTTTCTGTCTCTCTCTTCACATGTTTGCTTGGGATTTTGGGGGAATGGTTAGTACCACCAAGACAAAATTATACATTTTTCAGCTACGCTTTACTGGATAATGATCTAAAACATTTTCTATGAAGTTATTTTATAGCTCCATGCATGGATAGGTAAAGAAAACATGTTCTGGAGAGACATTAGTTTACAATTAGCTTTTGAAAGTCTCATTCCGTAGGTCATGAATAAGCAAGCATACTTACAGTGCATTTAATAGACCTTATACTTGAACTTGATTATCAGAAAGTATGATTTGATTACTGTACTAATTTGGGATCACTTTTCATCCACGTCTATAAGAGTAAAATACTTTATTATACACCGATAGGCATGACAATTGCGTAAGTATTCTTAAAGTTGAACGAATTGAATTCATTTGTAGGGGCTATGCTAAATATAAATAAACATTTGAAACATTTGTGAAAACAACTAAGTTGGGAAAACAGGTTTATTTCTCTGAAGATGACAGGGAAAATTCATGATTCACAAAGTGACACCAAGAGATCTTGGGGCGTATGCCCAAATCACAATGCTCTCATAAATGTGATCTGAGTTACATGTAGAGTGGTCTACCCTTAGAAACATTGCTCTACACATGCATATCTGAAGAGAAAGGCTGTCCGATCATTGGTGTCTTGTCTTGGAGGTTCAGTGTGATTGCAGATTTTCATTCCAACTCAATGATCTCAATGACTGTAATGAGCTTGTTACTGGGTTAATTCAGTCACTGTATCCCCCTCTCCCATCTCTTTGAAGCACTGCTACTGTTTAAAAAAGACTAGAAAACCTGCAGATACTAGAACCAGGACCAGCACTGGACAGACAGTGTGTTTGGCAGCTTCGTTTTTCCAGCTTATTGAAATCTACACAATTTGGATATGGCCAGTCTTCTTCTTATTTTTTAAACAATACTTCTTTTGTGTATGTTTCCCAAGCAATATATGACACACAGGTACCTGGAATGTATTACATGCACTGAAAGTTCATTTAAAGCTGTTATTTTCTTATAAAGGAGCGCATCAATTGATCATCTAAAGAAACTTTGTTCATGACATTATTACACAGGGAATCCAAATAATATTAGTATTTGTAGCACAAATCATATTTGTGTATGTATTTTGGCATTCACATTATGTTCTTGCAGTGGTATTGCTTTTCCTTTAAATTGATGTAGTAATTTTGAAGCCTTAATGGATTCATGGATTCATGGATTCATGGATTCATGGATAATGGATGTAGGAAGAATTCACCTCTTATTTCCTAACAAGTTATTTTGTCACATAATTAAATCTAAGTAGAAGCTTTTTACCGTGAATACATTTATGTAACTGCCATAAAAAGTCTTCTTTTCATTCACACTTTGTTTTCCACATTTGTTGGACAAACACATTTTGAAGTATACATTAAAAAGGGCTTCGCTAACTGAGCTGGCTTTTTTATTATCTTGGATATTTTAGAACAAATTAAAGTTCAAGAGTGCAAATGTGGTGTTATGTTAAAGAAGGTGGTTTTAAAATTGACTAAAAAAATATCTCCCCAGCAATGGCTCTCTGAAAGTGCTGGCTGCTGTGATTACAAAAAGTCAGCAGAAAAGCAATAACAGCATTGAGTCAAGGGTTTCATTAGACATGCAGAGAAGCAGATGATTCACTTCTGACCTTCATTTTACCCTTCTGACTTTTTTTCTTGAAGAAATGTTAAAAAATAAATTATATTTACTTACTGTCCACCATTACAGGAGCTGTAGTTAACTCAAGTTATCTTTGTTTCTCTGACATTTAGTAGCAATAAATTTGGTAAATTTGGTTCATTTACGTAGGTTTAAATAAAGACGTTTTACATTACCAATAATTGTCCAAGGCACAATTTCTACAACACATTTTAATGCAATGGCTCATTTCATTGAAGTCTTTTAAATTTAATGCTAATACCGAGGTATTTTTTTTTTCTCCTGAATGAAACCCCATGAAGAGTCTTTCCAGAATGCCCTAAAAAATGCAGATAAGTGGTTTAAAACTGGACCCTGTTATCAGTCATCCATGAATGTGTGTTCTGAAAGAGGATGTCCTGGATGGGTTTGGTTTTTCCATGACATCTTCCCTACCAGAAGCACCTGTGGGAATACTGCATGTGTTCTCACATGTGAGCTGCTTGTGCCTTGGATCGGAGGGCTCAACTTTGAAACATTTTGAGTTCCTCCTAAAAAGCTCATACTGTATATACAATGATATTACCATTTCTTCATTATTGCGAGAAAGGATTTGATGGCCCAAAGAATACACTTTTTGGAGGATTTGGAGGATGCATGTGCACACTGTCCTATCCACTGTTTAAGGTGGAACTAATCAGTGGCTATGAGATGTAAATTGATGGACGATATGCTGGACGAGAGAGAAAACCGAAACTGGGAAGCTGCAGGCGGTGCTGTTAGCAGGATGAAAATACAAGCAGGGTGTGGTGCAGACAAACATAGTTCAGGGTTGTTGTCCAAATTAACGAAGGCTGAAAACGGGAAAAGGACTGTAGTGAAGCACCGAGGGAATTCAAGAAGAGGTACAAATACAAGCCAAGGCCAGAACTAAGAGGCAGTCTGCTGGGGAGATCCAAAAGTTGAGGTTGGGACAAGACAAGCATGTATTGTCTGAGCATTAAATGTCACTTGGTGAATGATAGGTGAGTGGAGACGTAGCCGGTTATCATAGAAAATAAATCTCTTTGCAGTGTTCCAGTGGGAATGAGCCTAACACATACTGTGCATGTCATGTCTACATCCTTCCTGTACTTGTGTGAGAGTTGTAGCAGTGAGCTACAATACTGATCTGGATAACAGTTATTGGTTTTTATGATTACAAGCCAAGTTGAGTAAAAACAAGAACTTGGCAATCTCAAATTCTACAACACAAAAATAATATACAGTATATACAGGGTGTTTTCAGATGAGACTATTGTATTTTTCCCGTATTGACCAGCTGTGGTCTCTGTGAACCAACAATTCATATCCTGTAGATTTACGTTTATAAAGAGCTTTAGTTAAGTGTTATTTTCTTTGGTTGTTTATTTCCTCTCAAATTGACACAGCATTTTCACAGCACATTTTTTTTGTTGTTGAACATTGCTGCTTTTTAAACATCTGACCTTTGGTTTTCTTTTCTAAAAGCTGTGCTTGTGACAAAGTTGTTTTTTTCTGAGCCATCTCTCACATTTTATAAAGAAGACATTTTACTTCAAACAATAATCCAGACAGTGAGCATTTGGGATATAGAAATATAAAACAATACTAGCATTACAATTTGTCTTATTGTTTCAGATTAAATAAGGTGTAAGTCTACAACAACATTGTGTGCATTTATTTTCCTAATATTTAGTTTAATTTAACAGTCAATTTTACTTGTGTTGTAGAATTGGATTTTCCTAATCATAAACCATAGATTACAGTATGTTGTATGATTTTATAATTACACAGTATATAAATTATGTATTATGTATTAATTTTAAATAATTGTTTTTTGATTACTCTATTTTTATTTGCTTTTCAATGTACATTAAAAGCACTAAAAGGTTATTCACAGAGATTTTTCGAGTGTCAAATTTTTTTTATTTTCTGAAACTTTTCATGCATATTGGCATAAATGTGTTTTAAACTGCTGGATTTTTTAAGTAAGACAAAGTAGAATAAAATTCTACCTGTTAGAATTAAATTTAATCTGTCTCCTTCTTAAACTGTCCCATTTCAATATAACTGATGGGAATTGGTCCAGACACATACAGCCCTTTGTGTTAAGAAGATTTCCCTGTTATAATTAAAAATGTTCCAATAACTATCTATGTGAGAATAAAATTCTCATACATATTTCTTATGTTGGTAAAATGTTCTGCTAAAAACAACACTTAAAAAAAGATAACATCTTACATTAGAATTCCACATTGAACAACGAGTTTGCTTATTTACTATCCACTGTGTAGACACAGAGGCAACAAAAGGTCATGGTGCAGCATAGAAGTGCTCCGTCTGTATGACTCCCACTAAAGAAAAGGCAACATTAAGGACTGTACTTGTTCTTGTTAATTTAGAACAAGATTAGCCTAATAATAGGTGCTTTTATTCATTGGGGAAAAGAAAAGAGACACAACGTTTTGGCTATGGAGCCTTCTTCAGGTGGCTCCTGAAGAAGGCTCCACAGCCAAAACATTGCCTCTCTTTTCTTTTCCTTTTAGCATGGAATAAACCTTTACCTTTTCCTTTGCACCCTTTGCATGCTGACACAGCTCCCTACTTGAAATGCTTCATCAGAGGTTTGTCTAGACGTAACTAACTGGGCTTAACTAAGCTGAAATGAAAACCAGAAGATAACTCCAGCTCTCTAGGACAAGGGCTGAGTAGGTTGTAGAGATACCATCTTGACCTCAACGTGATGAAAAGATTGGGACACTGCTGTGTGTGTAACTCAGTATTATCACACATTTAGTCATATCTTCACAAGTAGTTTTGATGTGTATTCCTGCTTTGTCTGGGATGGTGAAGATGTCATCAAGTCTTGGACACCTTCCAACATGATGACAAACTTCCCTAAAGTATAGTACCTGTGGTACAGCACTCCTGTGCTTGCTCAGCCAGCCTCATAATCTGATAATGTATCCGCTTAACCAGGATTTGGGCAAATGACAGACTTAGACACCCACTGTGACATCAGCTGTCACCACTGTGTTACTCTGACGCTCATTCAATCAGCGAGGCTGTGCTGTGCGTCATTCATAGCTGCTATGTGGCATCACACATTCAGCTGAAAACGACACCCCTGGTCTTTTGAAATGACGCCCCAGTCAAGATAAATCACAGATGATCTTATTATAGTCAAAACGGGATTTTTTAAAATTTGATTAATGTCATGTATGACAAATTATTACACAGCCTAAAAACGTTTTAAAAAGCATTTGGTATGATATAAAACCAATTATATTTGGCAAAGAGGAGATGTTTTACATTTCAGTTTTAGAGTACTTATTTTTCCACAGTTATGTTTCATATGTTTGATATCTAAAAGAATAATATTTGTTTTTGCGTGAAATACATAGTCTGTCCTAAAGTATGATCATTGATGTCTGCATTTGATCCTGTTTCTAAAAATCATTAGAACCCTGCAAACCAATTTTCCAGTTCTTCATACTGATTGCCTTGTTTCAGACACCACTCTGGATACTGCATCTGGACCAGAAATAAATATTAAAGTCAGAGAGAAATGCTGCTTGATTAATTCTAATACAAAGTGCAAATGTTCAATATACTTTCCATAAAATAAGTTGTAGAGTGTCCAGAGAATGCAGTAAGACAGATTTCCCCCTGGGATTTTCCAAGCACAAAACTCCCGTTTTGCAAGCAATATTCTTCATGGCCAAACGAACTCATATTTGGGTTCAAGCACATTATTACTGATCAAAAACTTCTAGATACATAGTAAATATCAATGGAAATTAACTACATCAAATAAACTAACTTTTATGTGAAAGAAAGTTATTTACTGAAATAACTACATGGATATTAAATAGCATATAAAAGTGTGTGTCATTATTTGGTTTCTTTCTTTGATAATTTCTTTCTCCAAAACCAAGATCATTGTATACTCCATTTTATCTGATGGGGGCAGTGTTGAATCATGCCTCAACTCGAACTCGATTCCATTTTGAAAAAATCTTAAAATGGGGAGCATTTTCTAATGTCTAAAATGTTTCTTCAAACCTTGACACCATTTTAAAAGACCTGAGATGAAAAATGTAACTCTTACGCAGTGTGGAGGATAATTAAAAGGTGGAATTGTTAGCTGCTTGAGAAGTCTTCATGCTTCAAACCTAGATAGAGCTATTAGAAAAGATTAGTATTTTTGTATATAAATAACACTTGAGCTCAAGAGGTTCTAAATATATAGTCCCTGTTGAACAAAAGCTTAATTAAAATACTTCTTGCTCATTTTTAAGTGCTTCTGAAGACCTTGATGAAATTTTAAACTCTTTTCTAAGTGTCTGGAGGAATGTTAATGTTTATATACTTATTTTAGATATGATTGTTTTTTGCTGTTTATGCGTCTATTTACTTATTTTATGGAGTTTATATGACACTGCCCTTAATGAGAAAATATGGAAATGTATATGTGGGATTAATATATATTTTAGAGCTGTTTTCTGTCACTTGTTTCTATTTCATTATGAGAAATTCAGGTGAGCTGAATATAATTTGTCATATACAGTATGCTTTTTCCCTGATGCGAAGCTTCTGCTTCTGATTTCCTTTGATCCAACTAATCCTTAATTAAAGTGAACTTCAGCAGCAAGGCTGAGAACCTAAAGATAATTAGATAAATAAAGAAAATTAGATCAAATTAGAAAATAAGATAAAATACTGGATGGATTAAAGACCTCTTAAAGCACTGGATCAGCAGTAGCCTATACTAGTATGTGACTTTTCTGAGGACCAGAGAAGTTTAAATTATTCTCCTGGGTAAGCAGGCATTAGGGAAGGAGATAATCTGGTCAACACCAGCAGGTGTAGACTTATCCTGCTGATTCTGCAATCCCTAGTGGCTTGGCCAACTCAGACAGTATGCCTTGACCATATTACACTGAATGCAGAACAAGTATCTGTGAGTTAAAGGGTGCACACTGGTGGGAGGGATTCCAGTGGAACATTAGTAATCACTTTTCTCACAATCTAGCAGTTATACTTTTTGTTATCGGGATTGTTTAAAGTATTCCTAAAATGGATCTATATTGGCCTTTAGATTTCAAAACAGTCAATCACTCAATCTTATTTGGTTTAAAAAAAAACATTTACTAGAGACAATTTAATTAAAAGCCATAAATACAGTCTATAAAAACTGGGCTTTTTAGGCCTCATAAATGTGCAGTTATACAGGTCTATCCATTAGGATTATTCCCTTAATTTATATATTGTTGCTGCTGCACAAGTGGTATTACTGTTGAGTGCACTTCTGTAGATCAGTGTTGGCACTGCACTGGCCTACGGTCCCTTGTGATCCGGGAGGAAATTCAAGGTGGCCTTTGGAAAGCTCCCAGATTTGCATTCTCTTTTATTTTTGGATTAACAGTTCCATTAACACATTAGAATTCCCATGTTCTTTTGATAGCTTTTTTAGGATGACTAAGCAATCATTTAGTGAAGATTTTTTTTAGCCGACTAAAAACTAAAGCGATTTCTTCTGGTTACTTTTTTATTAGAAATGCAAGAACTGTATGCTTCATTATTATTCATTTTATTCAGCCTATTATTCCAAGGGGGTTAGAAATATTAAAATGGTTCTCCAATGTAAAAGGTGAAAAGCAGCTGAGAGAAATTATCTCTGTGTACTCAGCAGACAAGGGAGCTTTGTAATTTTCCAGTAAAAATGTCTGCATTTTGGAAAAGCAAGTTGGAGAAAAAAAAAAAACAAGACCATTCATACGGATGGTTTGTGAATTCAGTGAAAACATGTTGTGGTCTTTGTGATCAGGCAAGAGTAGAGAAATCATTTTTTTTTCTGCAGAGACTGAGTGTGACATTGTCATATTAGTATCAGAACTACCATTCTGATGTTGTGTAGCATTTTCAAGGTAAACAAAATCAGGACTGGTAGATTACTTATAAAAAAAGAGAAAGTTTTGGGTTTGTGCTCCATGCACCTTGA